CTGTGATTCTATTATCGTAATTTATGGACATGAGTGTATATCATTAAAAACTTATACATCATTTGTAATTGGTAATTTATATAGAAGAGAGAATATCAGAACTATTTCGGACCTCTATACCTCATTAATAAAAGACATCGTTTTATTACGGATAACGTATTGTACAGCATCAAATTAGGCTTATGAATAGCTTCATTTTCCATTACTTTGCATCTATCAGGATGCGTACCAGACATGAATTTAATCGGATTTGTTAGAAGCATTCTAGGGAGGATAGTTAGAATAGTTAGATAGTATCTGATCATCAGCTTAAATTATTTAATAATTTAATTTTTTTTCTCATGGAATTAGAGCTAATAATCTAATGATTGATGAAATAATCATGTATATATTAATTGCCGTACTTACTTCTATATTATCAGCAATGCAATGATCTATATTTCTTAATGCAAAGATCTCGATTTCCTAATGCATTAAACTCTATATCATCAGCAATGCACTGATATCTTTATCGTAATGCACTGAACTCTACATCATCAGTAATGCACTAACCTCAAATAATATTCAAAAATAAATTATTCCTTTTTTTGTTTGTAACTTTTCTGTATTTTTAATATATTACATCTATTATATGATCGCAATCAATTCATTCCATTAGTATAATTACTATAAACAAAATCACATGATCCACATTATCCATTTTTATTTTAAACAATGTTCAAACGAATTATACATTCTTTGTAGTTAGAAGGATTGAAGATTTAGATTGTGTGAAATTACATTGCAGTCCAATAAATGTAATGATATAAATTTAGAGAAAAATAATAATAACAGTAAGTAAAAAAATATCTAAAATAAAATAATTCTCTAACCAAATATGATTTATAAATATGCACTCAGCAAATCTATATTATAAATGCATGTGCACAAAAATTGGACTTGTATTTTCATAAAAATTTTTTGATATAAGAGTGTGTTTTTTTCTTACAATTATTACCATACTATAACCAAGGCAGTTTCAAAAACCGAAAGCTATAGTCGGCATCCAATATTTTTACTTCATCTCATCAGTGGATTGAAAACCAATCTATTACTACCCTTGAAACTTCACAACGGAACTTGAGGCTTTCAAGTACAGAACCACTTTATTCTTTACCCTATAGTCCAAAAGTAATTTTTCATCCAGCCCCCATGCGAACGTACTATTGGTCTGAAAAGTTCCACGGAAGAGTCAAGTACCTGTCTCGAGCAAGTAATACCACCAGGAGAAAAGAGAGTGAAAAATATATTTTTGCAAGTCAATATTTTTTTCGTTTTTCACCAGTACGCCACGTGATATAAAATGCTACTGTCGTTTTCATGGAGGATTTTGCAGTAAAAGGCTTCTGATGTTTTCGTTTTTTTCAAAGGAAGATAAAAAAATTGTCAGGTTCCGTTTTCATTCGTTTTTGTGCTTGTGCTTTTTTATTTTATGTGATATCGGGTCTTGAGAAAATGGCTGTTTGTAGAATTTACTGAAAGATTTAAGGCTTGAGTGGTGTTGACGTTTTTAAGACAGGGTCCTTTGTGATTCATGATAAAGTATAATGCTGAAGGAACTTTCAAAAATTAAAAAAAAAGAGTTGAGTCATAAAAAAGATAACAATTTATTACTAGAATTAATAGGTTAATTTTTTGATAAAATACGGAAAGGCATTTACTCAATATAATAAACTATATACAAAAAGTCAACGCGTGTCAATTGTTTTTAATCTCTTCCTACAGAAGAAATGTAGCAAATCGCTTTTCATTTATAAAAGCTTAGTTTTCAACGTCACAAACAAAAATTGCGTTTTATCACCTTTGTAAAAGTCATAATTTTTTTCTTTTTATCCAATTCCATGTCATTTTTCTAATAAAGTTGCCTTTTATATGATTATTTCATACAGAACTCAAAATATCCCCTAATTGTTTGGAGCAGCATATTTGAAGCCAAATAATTCCCTATGCAATCACTGTAGTGTAAAATGTTTGGTTTATTCTATCGATAATCATCACTAATTAGTGTAGATCTTTTTCAGCGTTTTAGCTAAGAAATGATTAAAAATCTAGACGGTATAATCTGCTTACAATTACTTATCTTCTTAGGTATTAAATGAAAGAATTATTTCTAATAAAAAACAATTGCTAGCCTTTAGCATTTTCAATTTTCAAATCGCTTGTTTGTCTTCAATTTGGTACCAGACCAAAAAATGATGCTAAATAAAAATTTCTTCCGTCCAAAAAAAAATAAATAAGTAAATAAATATAAATTGGCCATTTTATTGTCTCAAACTAAAAAGCATTAAATCTATACAAGCACTATATATTTTGAGGTATTTGATGTTTTTTTTAATAAAAGTTAATTTTTAAGGTTGTCGGTGTTTTTTGACTTTAAATAAACAAAAGAAATTTTTTAATTTCAATAATATAGATAAAATACAGCTTTACTTTTTTTCATTCGTCGGATAGAACTATAAAAATACTAATCATTGAAAATATTGTATTAAATAATTTTTTTTTTCTGTTCATGAAATTTATATAACACGTTTAATAGCATTATCATGGGAAGGTATTAAATTTATTATAAGAAATAACTATTTATATTAAAATATTTATATTAAAAAAATTATTTTTAAATACTATAATTTTAAATATTTAAAAAATTATAACTATTTTTTATAAAAGACATTAATACAATATCTAACTTTAGGGGTATTTGTAAAGATTTAATTAAGATTTCAGTTTTTCCTTTTTTGTTGTCGTATAAATAATACACATGTAATAGCTAAGAAGAACGCCTGAAATATAAAATTAAATACTGAAAAATGTAATTTGTACAGTGAAAGAAGGTAGGGCTTAAAAAGTAGTTAAAACAAATTTATGTTTCTAATTCTTCTTAAGTAAATGTCTAGACGCTAAATAATTGAAACTAGAATAACATGAGAAAACAATTTCAACCTTCTGACATTATCATGAACTTTTCTTAGAATAAAACTAATCTTTCAAAAAAAGTACCATTATTTGAAATTTTCAAGTAGTGACAGTCTCCAATATCGAATGATTTCAATTTCAGTAAGAGGAGATCAAATATTTTTAATTAAAACTTGTAGCAACCAATTTAAAACTCTCAATCTGTTGGTAGCCAATGACAATGGATATTCAGTGTGGCTTAGGAGGGGATATAGGAAATCGTTTTTACTTGTTGTACAACTCTTTTATTGAGAAAAATCAATAATTGTGCCGGGGGCTTTAGAGCATGAATTATTTAATGCATTGCAATTTTTGCAGTTTTTGTCAACTTGATGAATAGAGGACAAGTTAGTTTGTTTAAGATGTGCTCGTGTCATTAGAATTCAATGTTCCGAAGGAAAATTATTTGAAAATATTTTATTTAAGGAAATTCAATGATCTTCAAGGTATATAAAAACTTTCACAGCCTTAAATATTAATCTTAAAAGTATCTTTAGTAGGGTTAAGGAGTTGTCTTTCTGTCTGTTTTCTGGAGTTCTGTCTTTGTAATTTTATGTAACATGATCTTTACTAACTCCTACTCAGCAGAATTTGTGAAGTAAATTCATTGAATTTTATTGATATTATGCCTCAGATATTCAAAAGAAGTTATTGCATAGTATAGTTTTTTATCTTAAAGTTGCAGTACTTGCAGTAACTTAAAAGACATTCATGTACTCTAAATTTCTCGTGTCATTATAATTCAATGTTCCGAAGGAAAATTATCTGAAAGTATTTGCAATATTTTAGCTAAACAAAAAAGCATATACCATACAAAAATAACAATACAAAGTTAATAAGTACCAAAATATTATATAACAGTTAAAAAAAAAAAAAGAAAATATATTACATTTTTAGATTTGTAATGATGAAACTTTATTCTTTCCTAATAATAAAATAGCTTCTCTAACATCTTCTTTCATCGTTAACCCAAGATAACTTTTTATTAGCCTCAGTGCTGAGAAGAGTCACTTAAGATCTATTTGGTATGTTCTAAAAAGTGTCATCGTCTTTACTCTTAAAGCAGTCACTGTCACTGCCTTGGTTGTATTATTGAGGATATAAATTAACTTATTCCTTAACATTTAATGATAAGAAATTGGAAAATTAAAAATTTTATTGATAAAAACAGTTTTAAAACTCCTGATTCAGACTTCCGCCTTATTCAAAAATGCTGGACTCCCGACTCTGACTCTCCAACTCTAAATATTTTAAATTATGAATGCCAGATCCGTAAAGCCATAGATCTATACACACTATATAAAGACCTATATACACACATGTCCATAAATTAAGGATAATTCAGAATCACACAGAAATTGAACTCTAAAATAAAAATTTCACCTGTAGAATTATCACACACATCTTGAAGAAGAATATGAAAATTACAGGAAACCACCAGATGGCGCGGATAGTACGTCAAAATGACGAGAGTGTAAGAGAGGGGTATATAAGGAATGGTGGCAAAGAAGTAAAATTGTTCGCAAGCGCTTTAAAAGCCTTTCAGTGCAATATTCGCATAGTTATGGCACAAAGGAAAGCATTTGGATGATTTTTTACGTGGTAGAATTATCGGACGACCGGAATGTGGACGTACCCAGCTGGAAGTATCCGAGGAACTTGGAATCGGCCAGAGTGTCATCTCCAGGCTTTGACAACGATTCCAAGATGATGGTAATGTGAGTAGATGTTACAGCACAGGTCACCTCCGAGTTAAAACGCTGAATGAGAGCCGGTATGCTCTTTACCTTTTGTTTAATAAATAGACTTTACAAATAAGTCAAATTTGTTTTGCTTCTGTCTCGTTCTTTGCCTGAACTTCGTTAACCTTAATTATGGACATGAGTGGACATTGTACAAAGATCTATATACATATATCCACGGATCTATCTATACAAAAACAATTTGTAGAATTATAGCAGTACATTAAGTCAATAAGTGTTTTATCATTTAGTCTCATTCTTGTATCTATAACAAATATAAGCCCCGGTTCTCGTTAGATTACCGAAGTCAAGCTTCATTGGGCGCGGTCAGTACTTGGGTGGGTGACCACCTGGGAACACCGCGTGCCTTTGGCATTCACAAATTTGGGACCTGAATGTCCGAGGGTCTAGCGCTCTGGCGCTCGGTGCCACAGGTTTCGGGTTCGAATCCCGGCGGTGCTATGGATGTTTGTAGGGGTTCGGAATCCACTTTAAGCCGTAGTTCCCGGTCTCCTATGACTGTAAGAGCGTCACGGAGCCAAAGTCAGACTTCTACCTACGGGTGTTCCGTCACAACAGAAGCTGCTTCCTGGCCCTTCAATCATGAGTACGTATGGGCTCTTGGGCTTGGCCAGCCAAGTGGAATAAGAAGCAACAACAGCACAAATATAAGCAAGCTGCTTAAAATGGTTTTTATTTATCTAATGTTTGTTATTCGAAATGAAAATATTTACCCACAAATATGTGTTCATCCAATCAGGTTGACGCATATTAATGCATGATTAAAAATATTTACTTTGTGAAAATCAATTTTAAAAGCTTGACTGGATCAATACTTATTTTTGAACAAATATTTTCATTTTGAACAACAAATATTTAATGCATAAAAGACATTTGAATCTTGTTTATTTATATTTGTAATACAAACATGGAACCAAATACTAAAACATTTATTGACTTAAGGCACTGCTATCATGCAACAACTTTTTTTTTGTTTAAATCAAATTACAGTCTAAAGTTAAGTTGAAAGTTACAAAACAGATCTTCAATCTAATAAAATAATTAACATGGATACAATAATTTTCTAACGTTTATTTTTTTATATTTATTTATTTATTATTTATTTATTTATTTATTTATTTTTTCTTTTCTTTTACTAAAATAAAACTGAAATATTCTGTCTCATTAAAATCTGAAAACTCAAAAGGTTACCAGCTATCCTTTTAAGTAAATAAAAACAAATGATATAACAGACCACAGTTTATACTTCTCTACTCTAGAGGTTTTTAGTTAAAAGTACTAAAGATGCATAACATAATGATGCTGTCCTTGTGAAACATAATTTGAAGACGTAAAATATTTGCTAGGTAAGATTTATAAAATTCTGCATAATGCACATATTTTGAATGGAGTTCATATGTACTCTTCTTAATAAAGTAAGAAAATTACGTATATTAAAATTATTAGTATATTTGTAAAATACATTTAATTCTAATTTAAAATTAAAGAAAAATATCGTATTTTTTTTTTTATGTCTGAATATAATGAGCTCTATAAGCAAACTTAATAAAAAGTGTATGATTAAAAATATTGAAAGTTAAAAATATGATTATATGTGAATGTTTTAGAGTAAACAAATAGATCATTTGATATATTCAAATTAAAAATTATAAGTAAAAGTTTTAATCTTCTAGGATAATGAAAATAATGAAATAATCAAGTAAAAATTAAATTATCAAAAATCAAAGGACAATAAATAAAATTACAATATTTTACTAAAATGTAAACATAAAAATAACAGCTCTGATTTGCAACAATGTATGACTTTAAAAGCTAATTAAAACAAATAAAATGCAGATTACAACAAACAAATCCAATGCAGATTACAACAAACAAATCCAATGCAGATACACTTTAGAAATTGTATTTCAAAAGTGTACTAAAAATATTTCAGTTGCAATATTTGTTGTATAAAGGAATAGAAATCTTCAATACAAATGGCACATGAAAAGCACATGACTTTAGACAGTGAACAGTAAAGGGAATACTTTAGTGTAGGAACAATGACTTTTGTAAAGAAATTAAATAAATATTTAGTATCATTTTCTGATGAAACGAAAACTACTCAAAATGGTCTGTTCAACATTTTCATGGTTCAACATGGTTTTCAACATTTCTGTTCAAAAATTAGAGATTGCAGAAATCTAAGTTATCAAGATGAATGACTCTGTTAATTTCTTACTTTATCAGCAGTGCACTGATCTCTATATCGCAATGCACTGAACTCTATATCGTAATGTACTGAACTCTATATCGTAATGCACTCAACTCTATAGCATTGGTAATACGCTCATCTTTATATCATCAGCAATGTACTGATATCTATATCGTAATGCACTGATCTCTATATTGTGATGCACTGATCTCTATATTGTAATGCACTAAAGTATATATCATCAGTATTGCCCTCACCTCTATATCATCAGCAATGCCTGACCTCTATATAGAACCTCTACATCATCTGTAATCTGTAATTTATATAGAAATCAGATTATTAGAACTATTTTTGACCATTTGTCTCAATAATAGAGGACATCGTTTTACGATGGGCCACGCACATAACAAGTTAGACTGATGAATACACTTCATTTTCATTCTTTTGGCCATCACATGTAGAAGACATGAATTTAATCTTATTTGTTGGAATCATCTAAGGAGGATAGTTAGAAGTACCTCATCATTACCCAAGTTATATAACAATTTAAAGCTATTTCTGATAAGTTGAGAGCTAATATATCATACAATATTTAGTAATATTATTTTTCCAGACATCGATGGTTTTAGTCAAAACTTTTCATCAGGATATGCAATACTACTAATTAAAAGCAGTCTTTATCCGTTCGATTTTTTTCATTTACACTAATGACATTAATGAAATTATGTTTTTTACTTTGTGACATAAAATTCAAATAAAATTAACTTTTCTTTAATTTTAGTCTATTACATCTATTATATACTTAAATACTTGCATTAAATACATTCCATCCGTAAAGTTATCATATACAAAATACAAATATCCATTTTCATTTTAAATCGCATTTATAAGAATTATACTTCTTTGGATTCATAAAGATTGGAGATTAAACTTTTTTTGTGTAACATTGCTCTCAATTAATTGTGTTGATATAAATCTAGATAAAAATTAAAGCAAACAAATAGGAATAAAAAAAGTAAAAAAATATACACAAAATAAAATAATTTCCTAACCAAATACGTTTTGTAAAGATGCATATTAGAATAGCATGCGCATAAAAATTCTACATTCATTTTCATGAATATTTTTTTGATAAAAGAGTGTTTGGTTTTTCATACAGTTATTACTGTTCTATAACACAAGGCAGTTTCAAAAGCCTAAGGCTATCTTTGGCAACCAATATTTTTACTTCATCTCCTCAGTGGAATGAAAACCATATTATTACAACCCTTGAAACTTCACAACACGAACTTGAGGCTTTCAAGTACAGAGCCACTTTATTCTTTACCCTATAGTCCAAAAGTAATTTTTCATCCAGCCAAACATGCCAATGTATTATTGGTTTGAAAAGTTTCCACGGAAGAAGTCAAGTACCTGTCTGGAGCAAGTAATACCACCAGGAAAAAGAGAGTGAAAATATTTTTTGCAAGTCAATATTTTTTCCTTTTTTAACCAGGACGCCACGTGATAAAATACTACTGACGTTTTCATGGAGGTTTTGAAGTAAAGGCTTCTGATGTTTTTCGTTCTTTAAAAAGGAAAAAGAAATTTGTCAGGTTCTGTTTACTGTTTTTTGTACTTTTTACTTTATGTCATTTCGGGTCTTAAGAAAATGTCTGTTTGTAGGAATTTACTGAAAGATTTAAGCCTTGAGGGGTGTTGACGATTTTAAGACAGGGTTCCTTTGTGATTCATGATAAAGTATTATGCTGAAGAAACTTTTAAAAATTAAAAAAAAAAAAAAAAAACATACGTTGAGGCATAAAAATAATAACAATTTATTATAAGAATTAATAAGTTAATTTTTTTTATGGTAACACATTCTACAAAACGGAATGATATAAATTTTGTGACAAAATTATTTTAAAGTCTTATTAATTCCAAGTAAATTATTATTTTTATGATACCTTTTTACTTATATTTAAAACATTCTGGTAAGTACTAATTACAATTACAGATACACAATATTAATTTTGTTTTAAATAGCTTTCATAAGGATTATACAACTTTAGATTCAGAAGAATTGAAGTCTCAGATTTTTTGCCAAATTACATTACAGTCCAATTAATTGCTTTGATATAAATCTAAATAAAAATAATAACAATAAAAGTAATTTTTTAAAAAAATATCTAAAATAAAATAATTCCCTAACCAAACACGTTTTATAAACATTCATTTAGCAAAATACCATATTAGAAATTCTTGTGCACAAATTCGGCATGTATTTTCATGAATATTTTTTTGATAAAAGAGTGTTCGGTTTTTTTCTTACAGTTATTACTATTCTATCACCCAAGGCAGTTTTAAAAGCCTAAAGCTATAGTTGGCACCAATATTTTTACTTCATCTCCTCAGTGGACTGAAAACCAGTCCATTACTACCCTTGAAATTTCACAACGGAACTTGAGGCTTTCAAGTACAGAATCACTTTATTCTTTACCCTATAGTCCAAAAGTAATTTTTTTCATCCAGCCCCTATGCGAACGTACTATTGGTTTTAAAAGTTCCACGGAAGAGTCAAGTACCTGTCTGGAGCAAGTAATACCACCATGAAGAAAGAGAGTGAAAAATATCTTTTGCACGTCTATATGTTTTTCGTCTTTCACCAGAACGCCACGTGATAAACTGACGTTTTCATGGAGGATTTACAGTAAAGGCTTCTGATGTTTTTCGTTCTTTTCCAAAAGGAAAAAAAATTGTCAGGTTCTGTTTTCATTCGTTTTCTACGTTGTGCTTTTTTACTTTATGTCATATCGGGTCTTAAGAAAATGGCTGTTTGTAGGAATTTACTGAAAGATTTAAGCCTTGAGTGGTGTTGACGTTTTTAAGACAGGGTTCGTTTTTGATTCATGATAAAGTATTATGGTGAAGGAATTTTCAAAAATTAAAAACTGCATCCGTTGAGGCTTAAAACTAATAAAAATTTATTTATAAGAATTAATAATTTAATTTTTTTATGTTAACACATTCGACAAATAGCAATTATATAAATTTTGTGACAGAAATTTTTTAATAGTGTTATTATTTTCAAGTAAATTATTTTTTTTTATTTAGGATACCTTTTAATTATATTTAAAAGATTCAGGTAAGTTATAATCCCAATTATAATTATG